AAATGGCAAAAAAAATCGCCTGCATAGTTTTTACTCACTCATGTGAAAATGTGGTTAACACTATCAGATGAGTTTTTTTATAAAATCTAAAAGTTAAATGCAGTTTTCTGATAAGCCCTAAATGTAAGGGGGATTTTCTGATATTTTGAAAGTTTTTTTTTCTTTGGGAAGGGGTGTTAGCTGATAGTTTTCCAAAGTTAAGGGGGTGGGTTTTCAGAAAGTAAACCTATTAATTTCTCATAGTTTTATACAGTTTTGGTGGACTTACTTGTGTTACCCAACTTGAAAATATAGTAATATATTTGTCAACATAATTCTGTAATATTGCTAAACTTAAGTATTGAACTTAATTTTAAGTTACTTTGATCTTCTACCAAGTTCTTTGAACTTTCTTGAAACTAAGGCAGACTAAAGTCCATGTTTTATAGATATTGGGTCCCCAATCATCAAAACTTTGAAGGGTTAATTGCGGATATACCCTTTGTACTATTTCCCAGTTGGAGATAGACCCCATGTAGTTATAATTCTACAGATAGACCCCCTATAGTATTTGCCCAAGTACCGATAGACCCCCTCAGCGAATTTTTTTATACTCTTTTAAGAGTAAAAAGGATTATCAGTTGGGGTCCTATCCGCACCAGTAGAACTACAGTGGGTCTAACACTCTCTACAAAACTTTTCCAACTTTCTTCAAGTTAAAAAGAAAAAAAAAGGCAGTGGGTCTATCCGCACTTAACCCCATTTCGAAATAGATCCCTCAAGTATTGATATTTTGAAATAAGGTTTCAAAACCTGGAAGTTATACTAAATAGGTCCGTGTTTTATTTGAGTTCAAGCTGATGCATTTCAATGTTATTTAATGTATGCCTTGCTCAACTTTTGGCATATTATTTAGGTTATGTGCGATGCATATACTCCTCGAGGAGAGCCCATCCCTACAAACAAGCGGTTCAATGCTGAAAAGATCTTTAGTCATCCTGATGTCATAGCTGAAGAGCCATGGTATAAGCAAAAGAAATATATCTTTGTGTAAATTTATTCATTACAATAGAAGGGGTAGTAATTATAAGAAACTGAGCTCTCAAAGTATTTTACTATTTCCACATTGTAATTGGTGTTTCCCTAGTATTTCTGACAAAGGAATGAGCACACATTAGTTTGGTATAAGAACTATATAAAATTTTGTTGGCGAAAAGGATGTAACCAATCTAGTTTTGCTATATCTTTGATTATGAACTTGTTGACCTATTACATAGCATCCTAGCCTAGAAGGTCAACTCGAGTAACGAAAACAGCATTGTAATTGGAAGTTTTAATCTCCTATTTTCGCATGATAAACTGTCTGCAAGTATGAATTTTCTTTACATTTTCTTCTAGTTCCAAGTCTCAGTTTCGCACACATTTCAGGATAAAGAGATCCCACTCTCTATAATTGAATTTATTTCGTATTGGTATTACTTATTCAAGATCTTTCATTCTTTGCGAAAAGCTGAATTTGAAGACAAACTGACTGAGTTATATATGCAGAAATTACATTAATTTTATTTTGATTGGTCAGGCTATTGACGAAGATAATATTTGTTTTCTTGAACGCAAGTGGGATTAACCCATTTCGGCAATTTTTGTTATTGCCACTTTTTTTTCGTAATAATTATTAATTATTTGATTTTGTTACTAGGTATGGCATCGAACAGGAATACACTCTCCTACAAAAGGATGTCAACTGGCCTCTTGGATGGCCAATTGGCGGCTTCCCAGGCCCTCAGGTTTGAATTTGAGCTGTTATTGTTCTGTGCTATTCTTTGTTGAAATGCTGAGATAGGATTCTTTTTTTTTTTTTCAGTAATGTATAATAGTAAGAGTTGCTGTTTGACTAACTAATATTTCTGAATAAGTTGTTAATTATTATAGGGCCCGTACTACTGTGGTGCTGGAGCTGAGAAGGCATTTGGTAGAGAAATTGTGGACTCTCACTACAAGGCATGCCTTTATGCTGGAATTAACATCAGCGGAATAAATGGAGAAGTTATGCCTGGCCAGGTAATTTTATCTTCTTGTTTATTATTGTATCGTTATTTGATGTGTAAGTACAGTCGAAGAACCTTACTAACTAACACCACATAATCTGAAGAGTTGCCTAGAAAGAAATCTTTTACCTGTTAACTCTACAAAGCTTGATTTGTTTTATTCTTGTTCTTCTTCATTTTTTCTTAATTAATTGTTTCATGTGCAGCTTTGTATAGACTAAGTTTGCTGAATTCTCTTGGGCTAGTTTCAGATACACCTCTGGGCTAGGATGGTGTAACCACTTATACCCCAAAGCCCTTTTATTAACACTTACAAGTTACACCCACTGAACTCCAGACGACGTTATTTCCAAAGTTTGGTTGAGATGTCAGTTGGTAATCACATGACGATAAATTACCTTCTGCCCTCAGTTTAACTTAAAAAACAAACTAAATTAACGACTAAATTGAGTGCAAAAAAGAAACCTTGTCTAAGGTTCAGGCGTGTGTAAGTGCTAATAGTGCTAATAAAAACGGTGTAACTGCAATTCCCCTATGTATATTATTGATACTTTTCCTTTAATGAATTGCTTGCTATTAAGGACAAATCAGATTAATGCCTTCTTAATATTAGTAGATGCGAAGATTATTTGTCAGTTTTATTTTTATTTTGATAAAGTGTATTGTTTCATGCAGTGGGAATTTCAAGTAGGCCCCGTGGTGGGAATTTCTGCCGGCGATGAGCTATGGATAGCTCGTTACATCCTTGAGGTGAGTACACTCTGCTCTTTAATGTAGAAATATGGGAATTCCATCTCCCTTTCTCTCTCTCACTCACACATAAGGTTGTCCTTGTTTTAATAGTATCATCTGAGGCTCCTGTTTTTTTCCCTTGCTAAAATGCAGAGGATTGCTGAAATTGCAGGCGTGGTGGTATCTTTTGACCCAAAACCAATCAAGGTTTGTCTTGGTTATTCTTTCAAAATCTTTTATTGAAAGCTTTTGCAAATAGAACACCCTATTAAATAAATACCCATCCTTTTTGGCCTGCTATTGACGTTTTTGTTATTTACACCGATTTCTATGTTTAATTTTTCTGTATACTTTCTCGTAATATGTTATCTTTCATGTTCTATTAGAGCTCTCGTTTTAATGTATGTTTTTAATGGGATCAGGGTGATTGGAATGGAGCTGGTGCTCACGCAAATTACAGGTTAGCTTGATTATTTGCATCATTCACATTCTTACTCTAATTTTTTTTAAAATGAAGACCAAATTCTTAATATGCTTTTATTTATTTATCTAATAGCACCAAGTCAATGAGAAAAGATGGTGGTATTAATGTCATAAAGAAAGCAATTGAGAAGCTGGGGATGCGACACAAGGAGCATATTGCTGCATACGGTGATGGTAATGAAAGAAGGCTAACTGGTCAGCATGAAACTGCTGATATAAACAAATTTTCATGGGTAAGTATCATGGATAATTAAAATAGTGTTATTTCTTGAGTATTTATACTCTTTTTGTTTGCTTGTGTAAATTACTATGTTTAAATTAATTTTTTATTTTATCCTTATACAACTTTATTATTTATCTCGTATGCAGCCAAAGTAATAATCGTTTCGGACTTCCTTTTTTTAAAGAGAGGGATGAAGTAGTAATAATTCTCTTTATTCTCAGGCAATATAATTATGTAACAGGTTCATAATAAATTTTTGAGGAGTTTTTAATAATACTGTCATGACTCCTTCTAAAGTAACTTTCATTAATGCATGAATTAGTTGTGAATATTGTGACTGGGAAGAAAACAAGTAATTGCTAACTCTATTTCCTAGTGATGCAACTACTTGAAATAGTTGATAATATAAAGTGTGTTCCTCTTGAGAGTGCGTAGTGGAGGAACTCCTCGAAGAAGAAAGGCCTCAAGCTCAAATCTTAAGTATGGAAATTTAAGGCTTTTACGAGGAACTCTGAAATAAGAATTTATCTAACGGATGAACCTATTTCCAAAGAATATTTATGAATTTTTCTTAGAGTAGGAAATTAGTTATGAATTGGAATAGTATTTGTACCATTATTGCTCTCATTACTTCATATTCTTGAAAAATATTAATTGTTATTGTTTTGAAACTGACAAATCCTCCACTTATTACCACAGGGTGTAGCAAATCGGGGTGCTTCTGTTCGTATCGGCCGTGATACTGAGAAGGATGGAAAAGGTTAAGAATTTCACAATCACAAGTGATTTCATTTTGTTTCACTTACAAAGTTCTGTATGTCTTCATATTTACTATCAAGAGCTTCTGAGTTCTGATAATTGATACAATTTGCAAATATGTGCCATTCAGAAAAGAAGCATGGCAAATTAATCAAGAAATTTTGGTGTTAATTTCAGACAAACCCTCTGCACTATGAGAGTGTAGACACTTATAACTGCTAAACTATTTTATTAGCAGTTACACCCTCCGAGCTGTGAGAGTATAGCTACTGATACCTGCTTAACTGTTTTATTAGTCCCTAAACTCCAGAGGACATTATGTCCCACGTTACATTGAGATTTCCTGTGTATATTTTCCCTCAAGTTTAGCTAAATAAAAAAAATTAGATTGCCCTTGAAGTTAAGGACAAAAAAATTAATGTTGCCTAAGGTTCAGGGGATTGGAAGTGTTAATAGTAGAGTTTGATTTTACCACCATAGTACAGGGGGGTGTATCTGCAATTACCCTAAAATTTCATCAATTTGTTTTCAGGCAGACATTCCTCAGTTTAACATTTCGACGCATTTTCTTTTTGTGTGCTAAGAGTATGCTAGTTTATTGCTGTTTTCACCGTAGAAGATGCAAGGTAAACATGTTTCCGCCAGTGAAAATCTCAGTTGTTTCTTCTCGACATTTCTCAGGGTATTTTGAGGACCGACGCCCAGCATCAAACATGGATCCTTACGTCGTCACTTCAATGATTGCTGAAACCACCATTCTCTGGAAACCTTGAGAAGCCCAAAGTCTTTAGTATGGCTAGTATTTGAATAAAGTAGAAAGTTTTTATTGGATGTTGAATTTTTTATTGGATGTTGAATGCTACTCTTTCCGTTTTATGAATACTGAAAATGTGTTATTTTTAGTAGGTTTGAGCATCTTACCTTCGTTCGCATGCTCTTTCTATAAGTTCTTCTCACTTCGCTTTGGAAACAGCATGTTGGTGTTCTCTATGGATTATTGTAACATTTTATGCAAATGTGTTGGTTTCGAACATGGAATTGAGTTGAACCAAATGTTATATAATGTGCACAAAAGTGCACTACTATATAAACTGAGTAATAAGTATGTCAAAGATTGAAGGAGAGATTAAAAAATTAGTGTGGCTTAAGCACTTTCTTGAAATAATTTCGCATGTTGGATAGAGATTGTAGGTGAGGTTGGACTAGAAAAGAGTGGAATTTTAGCCACGTGTAACACGTGCGCGTCTACATATACACATGGTACGTGTATGTCAGGTACATATTGTTGGGATCATTAAATACAAAGCCAGAAAAACAGAGAGACAATCACAAACACACAATATTTACGTGGTTTGATCAAATTGATCTACGTCCACGGCAAGAGGGGGCTTAAATTTTATTTCTCTCTGAGTTACTGGTACAAAATTTTAGATTTTGAGAGCTCTTCTTGATTGTGTAGCTCACTCGTCTCCGTTCCAAAACCTCACCCTGAGAGTTTTGTAAGTGAGAATCCAACTAGTGAATAGACGTGAGGGCAACTTCTTGAAAATGACATCCCTCAATTAATTTTTTCGGCTAATTTGAGCCGCAGTTGTTAAAAAAAATTTGGAGAAGAGAAATGAGGTGACTTGACAGCGACCTCCAATAATAACCCGAAGTCAGATTTTGTGTTCTCAAAACAAAATTGGTCCCGTGATGTTTGGCCAAATTCAAGTCATTATCAACACATACGATGTGCAGGCACATATACGTCTATTACGTGTAATATACATATACACGCTTACACACAACCATACATGCATCCAACAATACATGCATATACATAGATACATAAACGCGTGCCCACGTATTCATGTTGTATTATCGTGATAAATTTATGGGTACTTCTTAATTGAAGACAATGCCCTAATTAATTACGGGGTAAATTTCAGCAAGCCCCCAAAAGTTTGGGCCACGCATTTGGAGATGGTACAGAAAACTTTTTAAATCGTCAGATAATTGTGATAAATTGGGGGTTAGCTGACAAAACTTTTGGTGTTTATCTCAAAACGGGCCACCTTTTCGGGAATCCTGTGAAATTTAGTCCTGAATCAGGTGACCACAGGGTGGTTCTCTGCAAACACTTTCATCAACAAATCCAAACTTCTCTTGAAAGAGTTCATAATTAACTTTTCACTAGATTTCTCTCATATATAGACAATGCCTTCTCTTTATTGCAAAACATAACGACCTATAATTCAAACATCAAACTTCAGTTCTGCCTTAGAACAAAACCCACGAGCCCCTTAAAAGTTTCCAGCAAACTTCAAGAGCTTCAAGGACTATCTCCGGCTTGCTTGATCTGTGTACTTCCCCCTTCCTTGTTGAAGGGAAGATTCATCGGTCCAAATGGAGTATCGACGTCGATACATCCCTTCATCGTATACCCGGTACCCTTCCCCCTTATCATATCCCACAACGCCGATCCAAAATCCTTCGGCCTGAAACTTATCGGTATCTCCACAACACCACTCCCATTCTTCTCGATCGCCGTAGAATTCGCCAGCCGAGCCCCTCCGATCCTCACCTCCCCGAGCCAAACCTCATACTCCAACGAGTTCAGCCCGAGGTCGAAATCATTCTTGTTGTCTATGTTCAAATGCAGGATCGCACTCGTCTCCTCGAAGGAAAAGTCGGCTAACTTAATTTTCTGTAACTCGACCCGCGGTTTATAGGGAACCTGGATTTCCCCACTCTTCTCTACTGGAATCGTGATTCGTCCGATCACGGGCGCGTCCACGATTAGGTCGACCAGGACTCGGTAGGGGATGATTGAGCCTGGATCGATTTGTTCGTAAGTGGACCTGATGTCTTCGTAGATGATGCTGAGGGGGACCTTGACGGTCTCCGAGCCGTGGGCATGGATTGTGCCGGCATCAGGGATTACACCGGTGATGAGATTCCGGCCGTCACTCTCAATGTGGTAGTTGATGTCGACGAGGGGAATCGGGATTGGGTTAGGGTTAGTGACGAGGACATCAACGATGATGTCGGTGTGCTTGAGGTCCATGGAGGCGATGTGGACAGTGGAGACATCAGCCGTCGGCTTGCCGAATCCCACCGCCTCCTCGATCTTCTCGCCAACATCGTGGATGAAGTCCTTCACCTTGCCTAGGAACCCTCCTTGCTCTTTAACCTCATTAGGATCCTTGGTCTCTTTCTTAGGAGATGATGATGCCATGGATTAAAGAAAAAAATGAGGAGACTTTGTTTTTGGATTTGGTTTCCTTTTAGAAATTTGATGGAGGAGGTTTTAAGGAAAGCTCCGGGTGAAAAGGCGGGAAAGTAGCCGTTATGTGGGGACCACCCGACGAACTTTCAAAATGGCAGTTGATTTCTTTCTAGTTAAGGGATCAGCTGTTTTGAATTGAATACCAAACACTAATCAAGTGTCCTCTTCCCCGATTCCACTTTGCTTACTCAAATAAAACTTCTCTTGTTCACTAGATTTTTTCTTGTGTCAAAGACGAGATTATTTGCGCTGCAACGTATACAACTTATGTAAAGAAAGCAGTTACAAATATTTGAATCCAATCTCAATGTAAATAGAAAGGCTCCTCAATGAGAATGTCTAAACAAATGTTGGAAGATATAAGGGGTTCTCTTGCTAGTTTGAATCCTTAGCCCTCTGTATTATCCAAGATACCGAAGTAACACACCATCATTTCCGAGTACAAATCCTTTGTTATCATCGATAAATCTGCAGTAAGCATTATCAAAAGATGTGATACATCAACACTAATAAGTTCATGTAGCAGGATAAGTTATTGTTGTCTTTGCTTAGTAAAGTGAATGGAACAAATTCTATAAAGTTTGAGTTAGCATCGTTTTCATCGATGCAGCACATATCGTATTCATAAAAAATGAGGCGTATAATATAAACAAAATTAAGAGGACTTACTTGACCGAGTAGAGGTTGGCTGCAATGCTATCTGCAGCTTTATCACGGATCCAACTCTTGCCTCCATTAGTTGTCCTCAGTAGCACACCACTACCACCGGCAGCCCATGCTTCATCCTGGAATTAAGCTCATAATATCAATTACAAACGTTTGATGCTCAGCAGTATATTTAGTGCTCAAAAGCAGGCACGACTGATGTCCATGCGCCACAGCAAAACAGTTACAAAGGGGAAAAAATCAACATGGAAGGAATGCGCATGGTAGATCCTTGAAAAATGATATTCAGTTTTATTACATTAGGAATATGCAAACATTGGTGCATATTTTAGTGTTGTTATTAAGAAAAATAGTTAATCAATTATTTTGTTCATTATTTTATGATTCAAATTTCTTCAGCGTCCAAACGCACATTTTCATAACCCTTAAAACAACTTAAACATTAGCACACCCTACATTTGTTCTGTTACCTTGAGCTTTATAGCATGTGCTTTAGCTGTTTTTCTTATTTATTTCCTTATAAAAATTAGTCAAATAAACATGATCCTGTTCCACGTATTATGTGATGAAAAGGACTGTGTAAAAACTGTGTGATAACATTTGGAAGTATAATTACCGATTGCTACTTTTGGACCAAGGTCTGGCCAACTGGATACATGGACATAGAAAATCTAAAATATGCACAAGGCCCAAGAAAAGGAGCTATTATCATATAGTTAAGAAAATATGACTAAGTAATCTGATAAGCATGAATTAGTTAAAGAGCCCTCTGAAGAAAGTTGACAAAACTCCACCTTCTTTACTCATTGCAGGGAAAGTCCCAAATAAATTGTTTGAGTGAAGACACGAAGGACCCGAACAAGATGTGTATAGTTAACTTCAATCTAGGCCAAATAATGTGATGCCTAAAAAACTGGTATAAAAAACAAGTATTGGAGAGGATCCAAATAAAATTTTGATAACTGTTGTTTCTAGTTACTTAAAACTTAAAACTAAATAATATTTGTATAACATAAAACTTTCTACGTTTTCTTTAGTGACAGTCTCAAGTGATTTTTGGTACCTTTGATCTGTAACCCACATCAAGAATACCAAACCCACGGCTCTGTACTGGAATTTCTTCAAAATCCTCTGTTACCTGAAATGAGCAATAACCACCTTGATCATAGAATCAATTCTCATTTGGAACAAAAAGAAATGGAAAATATCATACTTATTCAAATATAATCAAGTACTGACTTTATCTTTTAATAATGATGTTGGAAACAAGCAGAAGTTGGTAGAATTTGTATAGAGTGGGACATGCAAATAAGTTTAGCCAGTATGGATGATTTTGATCTTACAAAGCTGTGTATCTGTTCGATGTAGGGAAGTATGCGAGGCAAATTAACACCACAGTAACATCACTTTGTGCCATGAAAAACTGGTGAAGCCCAACTGCAAACCAATGAATACTTGGATTTCCTCGATAATGCCATGGGAAATATACGCAAAGGACAGATTTAGGTTGCATCTACATTGTGCTGTTGGAGCACATTTTCCACGCAAACTTTGTCTCAACTGAAATTGATTTGTTTTATTCATTTTCCTGAACCCCTTTGAATATATAATACTGAAAATTCACCTATGAATTTGAGAACTGCTAATGTACACAGGATGAAGCACTGAATACAGCAATTGTCATAATAATGAGGTCTTTAAAATCAATTTGCAGCTGCTTATTCTTTGTATCAGTAAAAAATCTACCTATCAGTAAAATTATACCTGGAGCAGGCAACTTTTACATATGCAGGCTGGTGTTCAGACGTTAATCTTTGATGTGACAGGTTGCTTATCACATAATAATCATCTTACATGACAAGTTATCAGGTGCACAACTGTAACATTGGGCTCCCTCAAAAGTGCTAGTTGTGGTTAATGTTTTTAGTCCTTTGAAATTATTGAATAGCAAGACGTCTTCCTTATGCACAACAAGCTGTTGATATTTAGCTATCACTTTTACTTCACTTGGGGTCATAATATGTTCTGTACCAGTATAAACTATGATAACTGAAGCTAACTGTCTTATTGAGCAATTAATAGTTGAGAATTGTGAGATATCAAGTCTTTATGCAGTTCTCAGTTGTTTTCCCAACCCCACCCCCTCCCACCCCCCCTAATAAAAGGCAAACCCTTCTATCCTCTCCTAATATTGAAGAGAAATTTCCTCCAACTGTATTGGTTGTGACATGCGTTTAACTCGTTACCTCCCTGTTACGATCTCATGCAACTGTATTGGTTGCGACATGCATTTAACCTGTTACCTCCCTGTTACGATCTCATGCTTCACCACCTTTTGAAAAGTTCCTCAGTCATGCAGTTTTCACTGTTTATACACAAGCACATACTAAAATTATTTGCTCATCAACTCATTTTGCCAAGGATTAAATCAGTACTCCGTTCCTACATAAACTAAAATTTCGTGGACTAATGAAAGAAACAGCAATATATGAGGATAAAAAGTTGTGGTGAATAGATAAACTGCAAACAATACATTAACTATTGAAAGAAATATGGAACCACGACATGCTCATTAACTAGTAATAAGAATTACAAATAAAAAAAGAAAATGAATATTTATTCAATGTTAAATGCCAAATTTTTATTCAAGTTTAAATGAGAGTGGCCAATGTAAGTACCCCTGTGCCTTTGCTGAGAAAGAGACCACCACCACGGACAAGAAGCCAAAGGCCACCATCAGCTCTCCATCCCATATTCTGGATTCTCCGTGCAACAGCTCTATTATGAGGCTGCCAATATGGCTACAAATTTTACAAGAAACATTAATATAATATTGCTATTTGTTTATCCACTATTCAAGGACAGGCAATATGTAAATTTAGAAAACTATTCAGCAAGACATTTTCCCAGCGAACTTGCCAGTCAAGCAGGACCATCAGATCCTAGTCCTTAGTGGACTCAAATCACTTGGGATGTGAGGCCAATATACATGAAATTTCCACTTAATAAGCAAGTCCCAGTTGATTTAGCAGCTAGCACAATAATGACCTATTCATTTAGAAATCAAAACTAACATATGGCATTTAGAAATCATAAATAGGATGTTGGTGCGAATAAAACAACAGTTGAATCTAGAAATTCAGATATTATAACTTCCTTTTGCATCTTCTGAGCATCAAAAGTTTTGGCACTCCATGAAATCACTTTCTACTAAATCAAAAGAACAACAATGTTCAGCAATGTTTGTTATATACGAAGGATATTGATAGCAGATAGCGGCGTGTAGCGGTAAAGCATTGCTAAGGCTATTTGGGGCTATTGTGACAAAATAGCGGTAAAAAGCGCAAAGTCAAGTAGCGGTCTAATTTAGATATGTATACATATTCAAAAAAATAAGAAATATTAAAGAAAAATCTAGAAAATCTAAAAGTGCATATTTGAGATTTAAAAAAATACTAAACATGAAATAGACATGTAACCGTCACATAATGCTGAAGGAGGAATCAAAGAGTTGTTGTTTTCGAGAAGATGAGCTGAGCGGTGAGAGGACTGCAGTAGGAGAAGCTCACGGCGAGAGGAGGCGATAGGACATGTTGAGGGAGGTGTCGGAGACTGCGGGAGGCTGCGGGAATACGCTGGAATTTGCGGGAGGCGGTGGGATGCAGTGGTTGCGGGGTGAGTTTAATTTAAAAAAAATAAACCTCAAATCGCTTTAAATAGCGGTCAAAAAGCGGATTTTGCCTGCAATCGTCCGCTATTCACCGCTATGGCATGTTATTGGTCATTTTTGCGAGCGGAAAGCACATATTCCGTAATATATCACCGCTATTGGACGATTGTGTAGCGGGAAGGGATCACTAACATTTATCACTATTTATAACAATGTTAATATATACAAAAAAAGTAAGTGGAAATCTGGAAGGAAAGAGAACCAACAAATGTGGTTCTTGATGGAGATGACTGGTCAATAAGACTTCATATAGATGAACTAAACAGTTTGGCATATGACTTGTCAATTATGAGTCTATGAAACAATTCAGATGTGAGCAATTTGACTATGGAAAATCATGCAGATCAGATACATTATACAAATAGGTGAAGGTTGCAGAACTATTTCCAGACATTGTAGTACATACATGAGATTGTTGTATCTTACTACATTTTTTTCCCACAGACTTGTGAATCAGCTATTACTTCAATGTGTACACTATCTTGGAAAATATCCATAGGAAACAAATACGAAACATCTCATTTCCTCAGACAATGGACAAACGACATTATCATTGTAATAATCTTTCTTTTTAGTTGCAAATCAATTAATTAAGTTGATTAAATATTCCAGGTTTCATATAGGAGGCCCACATCATGTTGGAAAGTTGATTAAATATTCCAGGTTTCATATAGGAGGCCCACATCATGTTGGAATTGAGGGGGGGGAAAACAAACCAATTAAAGGCCCATTAGTGTTAACCTAGAAAGCCCATATCCATCTTCTGCAGATTATTTTGTGAGGTTGTGGGATCATGAGATTTTTTTTTTCTGGAAATATTTTTCCCCAACAAACTTCGTGACTTGATCTCCCAAAATCTAAACCTGAGATCCTCTATAGTTTCTTTTGTTGCAACTACCCGTTTACCACTAATTAAACTTCTTTAGTCTTAGGGTTTCTCCACTCAATCTTTTCCTATATAAACCAATCCCCTCTTCTCCCCATCTCTATTCCAAAACAACAGGAAAAATAAAACGAAAAAAAGAAGGAAAACCCAACCGAAAACAAGAGAAGGAGAGGGACGAGATTTGGATTTTCTTTTGGGATTTGGGGTTCATAGTCTTTTCTTCGACAAATCGGCAAACATTCTTTTCCTCAAATATTATTATTTTAATTATTACTATTATTTTTTATTTTTCCTTCAAGCAAACATTTTTTTCCACTCGTTAGTTTTTTCCGTGATTTTAATATTTTGTAGGTTCTCAATTTGATTAGTACACTATACATTAATTCATTGTACATATGATATTAATTTGATTAGTTCACTGTACATATGTTATTAATTTGATTAATTTATTGTATATATATTTTTAAATCTTTTAGCATAGAAGTATTTATTTGTGATAGTTTTATCTATGTTTTAGTTATTTTAGTAAATAGTTTGATGGCATGAGCTGTAAATAGTTTGATGATATGAGCTGTAAAATAATGAAACTCTATGACCAAATTATTTCTATCATTGTTTTCTTGTTCCCTTCAGTATACAGCTAGTTGCAGTCATGTATGTAGATATTTCCTCATTGGTGTGATTATTAAATATTGGATAGCAGCATGTACACTAGAAAGCTTTGGGGCAAAGTGCTTAGGTGGGTTGTGTTCTGTGCAATGGTTTGTGGTTCAATCCTTGGACCATTCATTTTTTGCCCCATATAGTTTATGGGTTCCCTAAAACTCAGACTTGTTGCCCTAAAAATTCTTTCAAAATTGGTCATGTCTTTTATCATTCAAAATATTAGTACCCTTATCGGGTTTTTTAAACTTATATTATTTTAGTGAACTTGTTAGCTCATTTTGTGTACCTTGTTATACTCTGGAATAGATTGTGTGGTTGCAATCCGCGTTAATCAGTAATGTCATCAAATAGGCTAGACTGTGCATGAAGACGACTTCCATCAAAAATATGATTTATATGTGTGTCTTTCATAGCATGACTATGCTCTCGATATCGATATCCCGATATGAGGTTTTTTCTTGGCTATTACTATTATAGCATCGACTAGATGATGCACCCCTCTTGATTGGACATGTTCTGGGTCACGGTTATCATTCATAATTTTATGAAAGTCGTTCCACGGTAACTCTGTGGTTAGTGCATAATATTTCATGCACAGTCACTTAGATTAAACAGAAAACATGGGGTTTATAAAGGGGAATTGGACGGAAAATATAACATGTATATAAACGGGCACATGCGCATTACTGATATCCTGAGTTATATATATACAAGGGCCAAAGGGCCAATACTTGACTTGAAGCCGTGTTCCCGGGACGGTTTACGGGGAACCGATTTATATACATGAAAATATTCTTCTCTATTTCAAATAACGTCTAAAATAATAATAATACGTTTGTGTGATCGGTGATGGACATTATCTTGATCTCCATGATTAGCATTTTTCTTTTATCACTGTTAATTTAGAATTCATCTTTTCTTTATATCTACCACATACACTTACAAGCGCATAATTTCTTCATTTTACATGCTTGTTGGGAGTTTTCTGATTCTTCTGGGGTTTGCGTGCCCCAGACTCGGGGACTGTTCTTTCTTCGCAGGACCGAGAGTATTTCGAGGAGCAAGCTCAGCGGTAGTGATCAACGTTCATTCTATCAGTTTTTCAGTTTAGTTGTTTTAGGTAGTTATTTGGTTTAGGGTTTCTCTTGAGTCACATGTGACTTTTCTAGACTATGATGTAAAAAATTTCTTGACTCTTTTCCATGGTGGATAGTTGTGAACTCGTATTCGGACTCTTTTTTTTTTTTTTTTTTTGGAAATTTCTTTATCTATACATTTCTTTTATTATCTTGGTCACATACTCTATGGTGTAGTTTGGCTTTATATTGATATACAGGATGATCCAGATGCGTGAATGTGATTGTACGGTTACATTGTCGGCCGAGTCACATTCCAAACTATTACGCTTTGGAACCGGGGCGTGACAATCATGTAGCTGGTGGCCTTAAAAAAAGTGAAAAATATTCGTCACAAATTGACAATTTCAAGCCATTATAGGGTTGGCTACAGTAGAATCTTCAGCTTTTGATAATTTTGCAAGTATCAAGAAGAGAAATTGATGAAACTCAATGTACCGCACTAAGGTAAACCTCATAATTATAAAAGGATCCTGATTAAATGTATCCTATCATAAATAACCTAACTAGAGAAGTTTATCTCACCTGTCCTGGCTCCCAGGTTAGATAAAAGTTCCCGCGACTCGAGACAGCAACATATCTACCATCGGGAGAGCGGTTTACAGTGTTAAAGGTTCCTGTGTAGTAGCTCACACCACTAATGCCGCTGGACACTGTTCTGCATAATAAAGGATAATATGTTAGTCTGAACACATTACAAGAAATGCAGTTTATGAAAACCTTGGATAATAATGATAGACAGCATATTATTTTCTGAAGATACTATGAACTAAAAAATTCTTCTGGACCACTAATCAAATACGATGAAATTAAGGAGTTAAGTAAATGATAATAGGAATCCATAATGGAAAGTTAAGGTATTCAACAATGAACATCAGAAATTCCTCTTGTTTGCCAACCGCGACAACCCTCCGCACTTGATAAAAATGAGACTGCGTCTCAAAGTCAATAGACACAAATTAACACAATGTAAACTTTTCTGCAATATTTTAGGTACTTAAGGAAAATTTTAATTTGCAGCAGGTATCGTGTGCAACATACCGGTTAAGAGTAGCTGATACCGTCTCTTGAACAGCAGCCTTCCAGTTGTACCCCCGATTTGATGTAACATAAATTGCTCCTTCATCAGTCACCATCTCTGCACTTTTTTCTCCAGTCGCTTTAATGTAAACCTGATAAGCAGTAACAATGTCTATAAAAACTGATAGAAAGTACAAGAAGGGAAATATATGTTAT